AGCCTGTATTTTTAAAAGTTTTGATGTCATAGCCTGTTCTCAGCATCCAAAATGGTCTAAATCTCCTAATGTTCCACTTACCCACACAAAACATAAACAGAGTATTTGTGATTAAAAAACCAAACACAACAAAACACTTTTTATTGTTTTAGAGCAGCAATTGTACATCTTAAACAAGAAGCCAAAAAATTCCCCTATTTACAGTGATACAGACACATGCAAATATGTGCAATGAAAAATACTCCTCTTTGGGTGTTTTGCAAAAGCCTAATGAACTTTTCGAACCGACCACTCCCCTGTAAGCTTTCCTGGAGGCTTCAAAGTAGGTCTTCCTCAGTGACTTCATTCCTCTGTCTGTTGTCATTGTATGGGGCGGGGTGACTTGTTCAACAGGACAAAATCATCTCATTATGCTGCTCTGGGGACACTTGTGAGCAGAAAAAAAATAAAAACAAAAACAAAGAGATGAAAAAAACAAAACCCACAAACAAACAAACAAACACCCAACTAGAAAATATATCATGCTCCAGTTTAAATTGCTGTCAGAAGTTACTGGTTTTATATTTTGTCAACTTCACACTTTTCAGTATTTTGGCTTTCCCTGCTGAAATTCCTAAACCTTTATTTTCTTTAACTCACCATATAAGTAAGGCCTTTAAAATCTTTCTGAAAATTTGTAAGGTATATCTAATACATAGAATACTAGGCATGTTCAAGGTTTTATATATTAATGGGATAATATCTTTGAAAAAGCCCTGTAAATTACATTTTATTTGTGAATTAATTAAAATATGTGAGGTTATATCATTCAGTGAAGACCAAAAATAGAGACTGTAAAGCTGTTGAAAAATCTGGTTTATATTTTCATTTAAAACCCCACCACAGCCCCACCATATCTAATTCAGACTGTTGGTATCCTTGTAATGATCTATCACAGCGGGAGGTGTGTAAAACAAGAAGCATATTTCTCTGCATGCCAGTCTCCTTCCTTGCAGTCCTGAAAAGCACAGTTGCATTATATATTTAAAACCTCAAGGAATTTGATGATATTTCCACACAGCAGATACCTGCTGGGAGAGCTGTGACTGGAGAATAACATGAAGAGGTTTCATGCTGGAATAAGAAAAGCCATTATGCATATGTTGTTTCATTTTCTTTTGCACATATGCAGGTATGTGTGCGTATATACAATATAATTTATATATATAATATATAAATAAAACTATTCCATGATGCTACTTGTGGTTTGCATTTTTGTGGCATGCACCTGCTTGGGATAACCAAGACTTGGCACCTGGAATCCCTATTCTCTACAGCGATGTATGTGATGATTTCCTCCCTCATTTCCCCTCTAGTAAGTGCTTGGTGAGAAGTGTTCCGTCTTCAGTGAGAATGTTTCTGTCACTGTCATTTGCTTCTGGATGTGTGCTACTTCAGCTGTCTGCTGAAGGTTGGGGCCATTAGGATAGGTCCTACAGTAAAGTAGTCAAGATATGTACTATTCTGGCACTTAGGGGAAATGAAGAGGGTGCCATACCTACCGTGGATTAGAAATGTCCATTAGTTAAATGGCTTTCTCTTATCCTAGTAGAAGTAGATAATATTCCAGCGATAAGGAAATGTTTCCTTTGTAAAATGTTCAGGTTAGACAGTATCACAGTTTTAATTCTGAAATAATACTAAACCAAACAATTATTGGATTGGATAATATAATTTGCAGTTAAATAGAGGACTTCTTGGTTTTCAGTTCCTCCTGGGCTTTGCAGATGATTTTTGCATGGTGTTGTTTTGCTTATAAAGCGTTTTCAAAGGTGTGTACCATTAGAACACCTATAATATAATTATGACAGAATGTGGTATGTTGTCTGAAATAATTTTCCTTAAGATATTTGACATAAGCTAATTTAATGGCACAGAGGAGAAGGAGATGACTGGATAATATAAATTTGATGTAGTTAGCAAGTTATTGCTGGCGTACGTGCGAGTTGGCAGAAGACCTGGGGAGGCTGCCTTTTGGTGTTGCTGGGGTACTTGGCTCTAAGCCTGCTCTTGCCACCTGCTCCACGGCCCTTAGGGATAAGCCAGTTCTTCCCTGCAGCCTGAAACACAGCGGTTTGTCAGGCAGTTGCCTGTGTAGGATCTGTAGCTGTAAAATGCGGCAGGGAGGGAAGCAGCTGCCGCAGATTTTGTACAATGGTTTGGACGTGCCTTGGTGCAGTAGCCAGAGCAGGTAGCGTGTGATGCTGGCCATGGAGAGGATGTAAGCCCTAACAAAACATTTAGCCCCAAACTGATGTTAATACCCACACCTCATTTGCAGTTCAGATCACTGCTTTTGGTTTCAGGCACCAGCACCAAGATTTTTCGGTGTTCACAATGTTCAAAGCTGTTGTGCACAGATACCTCCATAGGTATGAAGAAATATACACAGCAAATATAACTCCTTGGAAAAAACATAGCTGGAGAGGCAGGAAGTGTAGGAGACTTTCTGGCTGTTTACCTAGCTATTATTTCTGTTATCTGTGGTTCTTTGTTTGGGATTACATTCTGAAAGAAGTGATAGGAACTGATTTTTTTTTTTTCCAATAAGAGAGACAGAGTATTCAGTTAAGGAGATCAAAGCCTTTAGTCTTTCTGGCAATCTCATGTAGCGTGATTTCAAAATATCTAAGTAATTTTTCTCTAAAAAGTAGGACGATTGTGAATTTAAATGCATATATTTCTTGTAGCATTTATATGAAATATGCAGATGATTATTTTAATAATAAAACTCCAGTTGTCTGTGTACTTAAGTGTAACTTTTGTTAACAAAACATTTACTCTGAGAGCAGAAACACCATATATTGTGTATTAAATATATCTCTAGGCATAGGGGAAGTAAGTTTGAAAGCCAAACTATAGGTTTGATTTCTTGTTGCTTTTTGGTAAAACCTGCAGCTCCATTTACATGGGTAATTTGTTGATATTTATTTTTCTTCCTGTGTGTTCAAATATTTTATGGGCTGTCCTGCGGCTTTGTAAATTGCTTATTCCATCACCTTTCTGTAAAGCAACAGTCTGTGGAAAAACCTTGTAAGATTGCTAGATACATTTTCCTCTGATTGTATTAGTGGCACATATATACAAAAGATGCTTTGTTTACATTTCCTCTTATTTTTGTTGGAAATGGTTCTTTGCATCTCTTTCTGTAAAAAAATGTATTTACACATTTAGTGCTTCAGCTGTAGTATTTAATCCAGGAAAGCATTAAATATCGAGTCTTCTGTGTTTAAAGTAAGCCTGCATAACTGGCTTGGTAAAGAGAGGGTGAAGGATTGTGCTCTTTTTGAGTTGTGCTTGTCTTCAGCAGCCAGTAAATCAATACAAAAGAAAATGTGATAAAACTTTCCTTTAAATATGTATATATGTCTTCACTAACCCCAGGGGAAGCAGAAAGAAATTTGGCTTTTAAAATTGCAGTGGTAGTCTTTCTCATGAGAAGCTCTGTGAGTCTGCTCAGTTAGCACCCTTGTGAGATGTTCTGGTTCATTCTCTGGGACAATGTACAAGGGAGAAATTACTGAGCTTTAATGAGAAAGGAAACCTGGTACTTGTTCTGAAAAACAGAAATGCAGAACCAGAGTTCTGAGCTCAACAAAACTCTGTCTTTAAAGCTGCAAGTAAGGTTTGATTCAGTTATAATTATTTGGTTCTACTGAGGAAATAATCGAGAAACAATACCAGACTTCAACTGTGAACAATTGATTCCAACATGCTTGAGTGATTCACCTGATAAATAATAGAGAAGTCATTTAAACCCACTTACTAAGAATTGTATTGAGGAAAGAGCCATTTTTTGAAACCTTGTGCTGTATAGCAAGGCTGAGTAAAAGTCAAGACTGAGTAAAACCTCCATGCTTTTAAAGAAAGAGCTGAGGACTTCTCAGAGCTGTAGTCTCCCTCCTGTGTATGGCAGCCATGAAGTCTGGCATTTCTTGATTTGTACCAGTAGAGTCTGAGAGATTTAGGATTACATTCTGTTCTTTCAATTTAGTTCAATAAAAAATAGTACAAGGAAAAAAGATTTTCACAGGTGTTTTAGAAAATTATTATTTACATCTGAAAGCCATATTCCAAGCTCTGATCTTGGTCAGTCAGACCTTAATTTGATTCTCAGAACATCAAGAGAGCGAGCTCAGCCTCTCAGTGCTGCTGCTTCTTACCAACACAACCTTTCATCCTGAACCCATTCAGATGGGTTTTGGTTTGCTACCAAAAGAAAATCGGTCTCGAATTTTTGTTCACTCCAGTTGCACCTTTTCTTGCTTTTTGCTCTGCACATGCAGACATGTACACGTGCAGAACAAGGACTCCCTTTCCATGGGACCTTCTGTGCCACAGCAGGCGAAGCACAACTCTTCTTTCAACACCAGTGAGTGTGAGGGGCAGCAGGTGAACTGCAGAGACAGACTGGGAGTAAAAACGCAGGGCCTCCTTTTGCTCCTGCTCTGTGTGTTCATTTCACAGAAGAATAAGGTGGGGGCTACCACTCTCCCCCTGATGCTCCCATGTGAGACTATTGGCTCCATTGCTTCACTTAGCAAATCCTGTTTGCTGTTCTTGCTATATTTAATGCAACATTGACTTGCTCTAACAGCATTTTTCAAAAATGTATTAAAATACTCTGTAATGCACCATAATACCTATTCCAAAGAGTCCCCTGACTGCACACATTATTATAGATGGTAGGAAGCTACAGTGGGATTAGCTGTTGACTGCAGATCCGATGCCAGTGCTTTTCTTTCTGTGGTTCCGTGTAATTTAACATGTCAATAGCCTCCCTGGTAAAACATGATAAAATTTTATATGGTTGTATTACTCATAATGTACCACATAGTTACACATGAATGATATCACTCCTAAATATAAACAGATATTTCAAGACTTATTTCAGTAAATGACTTACTACTATCTTGCCTTTTTTATATATGTATTTTAATAGTGACCTCTTTTTCTTGCAGACAAAATTGAAGAAGCACAAAAACAACTTAATGGAACAGAAGACCAACAGAGAGGTAATAACATCCCCCCCAAAATAAAATAGAAAATAAATAAAGTATTGTGATCCTAGAGGCTGGTCCGAAGTCTTCCTGTGTCAGTGAAAAGACTTGGATGGGCTGGACACTGGATGAGGCCCCAGGCATGTCTGTCTGCAGATGGGGCTGTGTCCCACTTCAGCTGAGACACAAAGGCTTTGTTTTAAATTCTCAAGTAGCTGCCTTGACCCTGATGAGATCACTGAAGCTGTAGCATCAGGGATGTGCACACTTCTGACCACAAACTCTGCTAACCCTTCGTTCATTATGTGATTTACCTAATCATCAATAACCATACTTGGTTTATGGTGAGCAATATGTGATGATTTCCAACAGATGCTGAGGAAAGGGACTGATCATCACAGCTTATTTTAAGAAACAGATGACCTGTGGCAGATTTAATCTGTGTGTTAGATCTTAGAAAGCTGGTGCAAAGTCATTACATTTCAAGAATGGCTGGCTGCAGTCATACGATTTGGTTGTGTGATAAATCTCATTTGCATACTGTGGGGATGCCCAGACACAGAGTGGGGAGCCCAAACAGAACTTTGCCAGGTTACTACTGGGCAGAAAGAAACCCAAATTAAGGACTCAGAGAGAGAATGATCCTGCCCAGTCTCTTCTCAGGCCTGTGCCTGCAGAGCCCCAGCCTGTGTCCAGGAGTGAAACTGTCACCCTGCGCAGTCAGGGAACAGCTCTGCAGTTCACTTTTTGGACTGGCTGGGGTGTGGGACACCTTGGGGGATGCAGGGAAAAAGCTTTTTAGGATTGTGTAATGCTCTGTACCAGCAACTGGAGTGGAGCTGCAACCCTCTGGGTGATATGTCTAGGTGCAGCAACCGAGGAGTCTGGGATCTAAGGGTGACTACTGGGCAGACTGAGTTTCTGAGCCAAGCTGCTGGTGAGATCCACCTTGGATGCATAGATATATTTCCATTAGTGGACCTTTGCCCTGTTTAGCCAAATCAAGGAGCAGGCTGAGGTAGGAGTGCTCAGAATGTCTGTCCAGGATCTGTATGTCCAGCCATGTATATGTACGCATGTATGGGGTGGTGTGTGTTTGATCTGTTTGTATATCCCTCTTGGGAAAACATTTTAAGCCTTGCTACTGGTTGTACCTGGGGCCATGGAGCAGCAGAAGCCTCACTTCTCTTGGGCTGCTGGATTTGGCAGATGAGATGTTTTCTAGTAACTGGTGTCAGTGCTTTGGCTTTTTCTGGGTAGGAATTCACCTTTCAGTAGTAGTGAGCTGCCCATCTGGCCTGCAGCACCTCTGTGAACAGTATTGTAAATTGTTGATGCTCTGTCCTGGAAGGCTTATTATCTTTCAAAACAATGAACTTCAAAACCTTTTGAAGATTAGAGAGCAGAAGACATACCCAAGTGGATCTCAGCAGGGTCTCTATGGCCCAGCATTTGGCCTCCAACGGAGGGAGCAGGACATGTTGTTTAAGGACACCCCATAAGCCTGGCCACTTTCTTTAGCCTTTTCCTTTTATGAAGTCTACACACATTGAATTTAAGGATGTCTGCTTCATCCCTTTATTATCTAGACATTCATGGAGCTGTTATCTATGAGTACAGTTGATTAAATGCTATTTGCACCCAACATTTTCTGGCAGCAGTCTGCAGTACTTCACTAGCAATTACATTAAAAATACGTGATTTTATCTTTTTTCCTCAGTTTCCAATTTTTCTTCCATTTCCTACAGGTGTGCCCTAGCTCAAGCTCTGTGAACTGTTAAATAGCAGTTCTGCAATCACCTTCTGCCTTCATGATTTTATAAATCTTGTCCATATTTTGCTCAGCTTTCTTCTCTCCAAACTTGTAGCTGGTTTCATATTTCAAGATGTTCAATATAATGTCTCATATGGGTACCAGGACTGTGATGTTGCTCTGTATTTGTAAAAGGTAGATGAAATAAAATAGAAGTGGCTAGATAGCAGACCTTCAAATGTTTGCAGAGACTTTTAAACGAACTAGACCATCTACTGAATATTTCTTATGCATTTCTTACTGATGTATCATAGATAAGTGGTATTGTCATCCAAACGTGAAAAACTTGGCAAGTAAGGTATAGCTGTCAGTTCTTGCTGCTGTTGGTCTCACAAAAGTAATACTGCTCTGGATGATTTTTTTTTTTTATGGACATGTTCAAGCTGAAGAGCTAAGCTCTGCTTTCAGGCATTTGTTCTCAAGTGTGGCACAGTAGCATCTTTACATAGAGGAAGATTAATTCTCTAGGGTAAACGTAGCAGTGTACTCTGAAAGGGATGGGGTTACAAAGGTTTATGTGGTGGTAACACTCAGCTTTCAAGCATCTCAGAATCAAAGAGAGATTTAACTTAATTTTTGGTCTCTGGCCTAAACTCTTATGGCTGGAAATTGAAAAATAATTTTTTACATTGAAAACTGATATAGAAATAACTGAGGTAATAAAGTTACTCTTTTCAAATTAAAACTGTCCTCTGCCACTGTGGGGTTTTTTAGTTTCTTAAATGCCTGAATAGATCACATTCTTGGTAATATGAAGTAAACAAAATTATTTATTTGAAGCTTTAGACTCTGAAGGCTGCTGAAAAAAAGAAAATACATATTTTGAGCTAAACAAGTAAACAAAAATACGCACATATTCACATAAGTTATTGTAAATCACAATCCAGTGTATACAGATTCATATGAAGTATGATTGTATATTTTTCCTCTTGGTTAATTTATTTTGGTTTTCAGTTCATCTAGATCACTTTAGATTTGTTTTCCTATGTGAAATGATTAAGAAATGTAATTTTGTGAAATTTATCATAAGTTAACTGCTGCTCTGTCAGAGGAGCTGTCAGTGGCACAATGTATTTGTGGGGAGGAGTTTTTCATAAGTTTATTCATGCTGAGTTTCTGCTGAGTAGCATTTGTGCACTGATCAGTCATAACTTTATACATGTGTGGGATTTAAGTTGAATTTAATTGACTGCAGAAATACATGTATTTAACTCCTCATGTTGCCATTAGCTGTATTAATCCAATTAAGTGCAAGTTGGAGTAGGACTCAAGCACAGATGAGACAGCAAATGGGCAGACATAGTTTTCAGGTTTGCATTTTGGTTGTTTACTATAAAGTTGCAACTGCTTTCTTATTTTTTGAAGTGACAGTCCACAAATTATTCAAATGGCCTTGATTTAAATAACCACTTGAGACCAGAAACATGTTCATTAGGGGCTGTGCTCAGCTTCCTGCTCAGCGAGTGTGCAAGGTGGCTAATTCTCATGTCTTTTCATTTTCTCTCTGCTGCACACTTGCCACTGAATTTTCTGGAGGAGAAACTGCTTCTCCTTAGTTTTGCTGCTATCTCTCAATGCTCTTTTACACCTTAGGTGTGCCCCTACTTTGGGGCTGAATTTCGACTTCTGACTCACGTACAGGATTTAATTAGTGTGGTGGAGAAGGTCTTGCTCCACATGGTGTTCTTTAATATCTGGAAGGGATGATGAGCTTGAACTACACAAAATCTCTCCTTGAGAATGCAGTGAAAGTTTTCTGTGGTGTGAGACTCAATGGATATTGTGTGCAGGAAAACATTCAGGTGAATGCAACTGCTTTATCTGTGGTCAGCCAGTGGCCATCCTCCCAAGAAAGCCATTCCGAGGATGTCTCTCTGTCTTGTCCCTTCCAGACAAGTTAAGTCAAGTTCTGTCAGACTGTGATCACCACAGAGGCATCTGATTTGGTCATCTTCAGAAACAGTCCAGTCTCTGAAGTGCTGTAAACATTTTGTTTCCTGCTTTATTCACTGGAGCAGTTCTTTGCCTGTCACAGCCCTCTGGGTCCTAGGTACATCAGCACCACCAACACCATCATCGCATTTCTTAGGACTAGTGGAACTAACTTGGCTGTCTCCATATTTGGTGTCAGCAATGCTGACTGCCACCTAAATCTCTCTCTCTCTGCTTTTGAAAATGTTTGGGGAACTCAAGTTGGTGACAAACTTTAGCAGCACCAAAATTTGCAAGAAAATGGATGAAAGATTTCCAAAAGGACCATCTCATGGCCTGATATATACTCTATATTGCCTACCAATCCTGGGGTCTCTCAGGCTGTTAGGACTCCATCATTTCAGGTAACTGCTTCTTGCCATGTCACAGCCAAAAGGATCAATGATAAATTTCTGGGTAAGATGGAAGATGGATTTCTTTGTTCTCCTTCCTATTCATGGCTATTGCTGTGTCCTCAGACTATAGGGTGGTCTGAGATGGACTGGAGGCATGCATGTGTTCATCAGCCTCATTGTAGTTTAGACTTGTAGGCTGTCCTGGTTGTTTGTCAGGTGTGAATTCATCCCTCTGAATAAGCTGTTGCTTATTGTTTGATCAAGTTTTTGACTTCCTGCAGTATCAAGGTTTAACCTCAGCTGGCAATTAAGCCCCATGCAGCTACTCACTCACTCCCCCACAGTGGAATGAGGGAGAGAATCACTATAGTAAAAGTGAGAAAACTAGATGGAGATAAAGACAATTTAATATATAAAGCAAAAGGCACTTAAGCAAAACAAAACTAATAACTCATTCACCACTTCCCATCAGCGGGCAGGTGTTCTTCCATCTCCTTATCTCCAGGAAAGCAGAGGTCCACTGGCATTTGTCCAGCAACAGATGACGTCATTCCTCCTGTCCACCTCCTTTCCTCCTTTTCCCCCAGCTTTATATGCTGAGCTTGATGCAGTATGGTCTGGAATATCCCTTGGGTCAGCTGGGGTCAGCTGTCCTGGCTGTGTCACCTCCCAGCTCCTTGTGCACCCCCAGCCCACTGGGTGGTGAGGAGGTGTGAGGAGCAGAAAAGGCCCTGACACAATGCAAGCCCTGGTCAGGAGTAATGAAAACATCTCTGTGTTTTATCAAACCTATGTTCAGCATAAATCCAAAATACAATCCCATACAAGCATCTTTGAAGAAAATTAGCTCTATCCTAGCCATAATGAGCACATGC